GCAACCCCCAGAGGTTGATGCTGAAACCATGTGGCGGATTTTATCAGCCGTCCTAGCGCTGCTGACAGCGGGAGCTGTGTACTTTGTCAATTTGGTCTACAAGAAGCGAGCAGAGCTCGATGGACTGGTGAGCATGCCGCCTCCACTGTTGCATCTCCGAATCGTTTGTTGTCGGCCAAATGAAGGGAAGCAATATGGCATATGCTAACTCCACACTGGTCAGCCACAACCGCCTATGGAAAGCCGATTCTGGGGTCACTTGAAGATTGCCGGCGATTGCAAAAAACTCTTTCCTCCCAACTGCCACGTCCAAAACTGGGCCAACTATATGAGGAAGAAGTATAATTTAGGCGGTAAGTATTCTCGGGTGCATTCCGGGCAATAGCCTTTGATGGAAGCGGCAAATGACCAAGTACTGCTGTGAGGCACTGTCTTTGTTCATTGACCTGTATATCTCGGTTCGATTTGTATGTGGCTGTGTCGAGATGCTGAGATCCGTAACTCAACAGATGTCTTCTACGTTGACTGGTGGCCACTGGGCCCCCGTTGGATGTTCATTGCCGACCCCGAAGTCGCTTCCAAGTACTTGACGACTGGTCAGTCACTGCCAAAATCGCGACTCACGACGGATTTCCTGACAAAGCTCCTGGGAGCCAACAATATGGTCGGCTTGGAAGGCCAGGCCTGGAAATCCCTCCGATCTATCTTCAACCCAGGCTTCTCTGCAAGCCATTTGATCACATTAGTGCCCTATGTGGTTGACTCCAGCCTGGTGTTCCTCGATCTGCTTCTCGAAAAGGCAAAAACCAATGAGCTCGTTGAACTTGATCCCTTGTCAATAGGATTTGCCATTGACATTATAGGCAAAGTGGTCATGGACTCGGATTTTGACAGTCAGAAACGCCCGCACCCAATCGTCACGACGTTTCGGAAGCAAGTGGAGATGATGCCGAGTGCCGCTAGTATTGGACCGCTCGACGACATCAATCTCGTCCGTCCTATTCGTCTTTGGTTGAACGCAAAGAAACTTGACTACCTGCTTGGTGCCGAGATCGACAAGAAGATTGCTGCTCGGAAGACGATGCAGGAGTCTAACGGATCCACTGGCACGGAAAAGCATAAGAAAGACCGCAAGCGCTCAATTGTGGACCTTGCTCTTGATGCATACGAGAAAGAGGTCGCTGCCAGTGCCAAAGCGGGTAGCAGCGGTATGACGAGCTCGTTCCGCACGATGGCCATCGACAGCATCAAGACTTTCATCTTCGCTGGCCATGACACCACCAGCTCGACGATCTCATACACCATGTATCTCCTTCACCTCCACAAGCACGTCTACACTAAGATCGTAGCGGAGCTTGACTCCGTCTACGGCAAAGACATCACCGCATCTGAAATGGGCGAGCTCATCAAGTCTGACCCGCACAGCATAAACAAACTGGAGTACCTAGGTGCTGTCATAAAGGAAGTCCTCCGCATCTTCCCACCGGCGTCAACTATCCGCGAATTAAAACGTCCAAGTGAAGTCGCCTCGGTAAAGGAAAAGATCATCATTGATCCATCAACTGGCAAAGAATGTCCAATGGTAGGCTTTGACATTTGGCCGGTCGCGCACATGATTCATCGAAATGAGGCATATTTCCCAGAGCCATTGAAATTCATTCCCGAACGCTTCATTCCCTCTCAGACACCCTTTCCAGACTGCAAATTACACACCCCCGCGGGTAAAGACGCATGGCGACCATTTGAAAAAGGTCCCCGAAATTGCATCGGCCAGGAACTCGCAATGATGGAGGCCAAGGTTGTGATCGCTCTCGTGATCAGAGAGGTGGATTTCACGGCAGAGTTCTATGGGGCAAAGATTGAGGAAGGGGATTGGAAGCCCGTGGAGACGAAAGATGAGTTTGCAGATGGTCTCAGCGGGGAGAAGAGGTTGACCGTAGAAGGACACAAGCCCTATCAAGTGCTGATCGGGGCGGCGAGGCCGAGAAATGGAATGAGTGGGAGACTGAAGTTGAGGAGGTAAAGTGCAGGGCGATGATGACAGCGTGATGGCGTGAAAGCCAGATTGGAGTGGAACGTAAATATAAGCTATTAACTTAACGGACTTGGGTTTCCTTTTTGCTGTCCTGTCAGACAAGGGGGCTATTGTGATTGATGGTACATAGACCAATTGAGAGGACTGTGCCGTCCACACCGCCGGATGTGGAGAAGCATGAAGAGGGGAAGTTGAGTGGGTCGAGGCGTATGTCGCTTGGTTCACGGCTGGTACTCTCAGTACATATGGTGGCCAACTGCTGAGGATGTAGTGTGCAAGGCTGTAACGTCCCGGTCGGAAGTGACGGGTAGAACGGAACAGGCGGACCAAAGTACAAAAGACGGGACACCCCTAATATTGGGGGATCTACTTGTCATCTCAGCCGGAAGAAAGGCGGGTATTCTATCCATTTTCGCTCACAATCCCTCGTTTGCCACGGAAATGCCGGGACCTAGATTGGGACTTTTAGGGAGTATGGACGACGTACTGGCGAGGCTGGATAGAGCCTTGTCCCCTGGCAAGGCTGGCGATTTGTGTTCCTGCCGCGCCACCTTCCTCATTCGTGTCAGCGGATGGCTGCTCAAAAGTTAGTGGCCCAATGTGAAGCTGACTTGAACCTCACAATTTCCAATTCCCTGTGCTGTTGTCCCGGTTCTCTTTCTCTTCGATGGAAGAGTGTTGCAGAATGGGAGACGTTGTCCGCATCCTACACTCCAATGGTCAAATAGCCGGGCTACGGCTCCAACGTACTGACCTGGAAACCTGGAAATGCCAAAGTGAGCATCAATCGGCATCCACGAGACATTGACCTCATCTGGTACAGTCGAGCGGAGTGATATATGCTCTTGCATTCAAATTTTCAACTTGCTCCGCCTGTTCCTTCACTGGTGATGTGATAACAGTCGCCTCTGGAAACTCGGCAATTCGCCCCTGAATCGGCGAGCTACAAGTTTCATGGTCAAACAAGACTTGGTTGGCAATAGCTGAAGCTATCCTCGACGTCGGTGCGGATCTGGCGGCCAACAATGTCTGTATGTCTTCTCCTTTTTCGAGGACGCCGCTCTGAACTGGCTTTCTGGTGGAGAAATATACAGGCACTGGCCCAGGGTCCATTCAGCTCGTCATGTGCCATGTTGATCCTGGTTCCGGGTTCCCTCCAACTTTGGTCCCTGGCAGTCGAGATCAAGTCGCATGATCTTTTCGCTTCCACTATTTCCGCCTATGCTCATCATCTTCCGAATAAGGCTTCAAACTGCCTAGCCTTCTTGCCTCCCGAATCTATAATACGCATGCCTTCACCTCCTGTTTTTCATGCCCTCTCGCTTGTGTTATTCTCATCCGCCCTGTTCATGAGCAAGCCCATTTGATCTCTCCAATTGCCCCTTTTCACCACACAATCTCTTCTCCTTGACTATATCTGAGGAGCAACACCATGGGCGGCAACCGTGCTCTTCACACGAATCCTTTCATTGTCAATGGCAGAACTGTAGATATCCACATCACGACGCGGGGATCAGACTGGTATTGGGCAGTCATGTCAGTCATGGGTATTACTATGCTAGCCATACTGGCTATTAGTTTCCTCAAGCCAGCCTGCAATCGACTGTTCTACTACATTCTCTCCCTCGTCGCATTTGTGGCTATGGTCGAACACTATAGCATGGCATCGAACCTTGGTTGGGTCCCAATTGATGTCGAGTGGCGCAGAAGCAGTCATCTTGTTTCCGGCGTCAATCGTCAGATCTGGTGGGTTCGTTACTGCGGCTGGTTAGTCAAATGCACCTGAAAAAAGGAACCAGAGTTCTGCTTTCTAACTGCTCAATAGGTTTCTGATCTGGCCGTTGCTCTCTGCCACTATCCTTCTTGCTTCGGTTGTCCCCGGGATCCAGGTCTTTTGGACATGTTTCCTCAGCTGCTCTATGGCAATACTAGCCGTCGTTGGCGCAGTTGTTCGGACAGACTACAAATGGGGTGAGCTCTGACACCGATGTCCAAGGAAAAACCACTGACCCTTCATCGTAAGGCTACTATGGTTTCTGGATTTGGTGCTGGCTTCTCATCGGATACCAACTAATCTGGCTGCCAAGAAAGTTTGCTCTGGCTCGGGGGAAAGACGTCGCGTTTGCTCACAACATCACCGCCGGCTGGGTTTGGATGCTCTGGATGCTCTACCCAATCTGCTGGGGTGTATCCGAGGGTGGAAACGTTATTCCGCCTGACTCTGAATTCATCTTCTACGGCATTCTAGACTGTTGCTTGATCCCAATCACGAGTGCTTTCTTCCTCTTCAGCCACTGGACCATCGACCCTTCACGTCTAGGCTTGAAGATGAGAACCTACGACGACCCGCTCAATAATCACAGCACATCCAACCAAGAGAAGATGGCCTCACGCGGTCAAACCGACGGGATCACGGAAGCCGGCGACGCCAGTCAACGTGCTCCTGTCACCGAGGGCGAACTGCCCGCAACCACTGCCTAGCCTCCCATGCAGTCTGCCAAACTTTACCGAAGAACTCAACGGATACCCATCTCTATACCCGTCCCCGTGCAAATGAAGTTGTCGTTTGTGAAGGTGCATATACCTATGGTTTGGAGAGTTTTGATGAAGTCCCGTGAGAAAATCAATATCACGGCACATACATACCATGGGCACAGCACAGCTGGATGATACTGGCTAATGCGGCGAACGAGATGATACATTCTTTCCTTTTGGATTTCATAGTCAGTCAATCTTCATAGTGCTTGTTTAATCATAACACCCACTTTCTCTTTTTCTGTACTCTGCTCTGGGATGTCAAAGCTGATAGGTTGGCCTATCCAAGGACTCTATGAAAAAGAAATCTAGCACTTTGTGGCTATATATCCCATCGCCTGGCGCAAACTCCAATACGCTCTTTACTATTGCCCTTTCGTGTTGGTGCGTTTCTTCCTGTCTCTGTCTTTCTCGGACAATGCTGCCCCAGTCAAATATGGCATGCAGGCACATCGAAACCGGCGCTCCACAAGAGGCTCCCGATGATGACGACCAAGATGCTCAGCCCCACTGCCACGCTGGAAGCACCGTAGATATGGGCGTGTTTCCGCCGCAGCGTTTCGAGCTCACCCACCCACGTGCTCACGGTGGTGGCACAGCCGCTGAACCCGTCCATGATGCCGTTGAGGACCTGGCAGGAGAGCACGCTGCGATGGCCGAAGCGTTGGACGATGAAGCACACCCCTAGAGCGGCAGTGCCGGAGATGTTGGCCAGGAAGGTGCCCACGGGGAATGAGGGGATGCGCCGGTTCAGATGTTTTGACAGGTAAAACCGGAACAGACAGCCCACGGGCGCAAAGATCAGGGAGAATATCACCTGGCCCCTCCAGGCGTCCTTGGGAGGCCATATCGCGAGCAAGATCGCACCGATCCAGCACCCCAGTCCGAGAATCACGATGGCCGGGTCCAAGACTTTACGGGCGCGGCGGAAGGGAAGCGTCGGCATCATGCTCTGAGTGGCCAGTGCCAAGTGGGCTCCAAATTTCAACGCCGCGAGAGAACACGCCACGTGCACGATGAGGACGGCGACGACGGCCTCGAAGTCGTACCCGCGGTGTCTTGGACTGGGTGCCTGGGAGCGAGTCAGAGACCCAAGTTGTCCGCTCAGGGCCAGGAAGGCGTCCCTCAAGAACGTCGAGAAGGAAGTGAAAGAGCCGCAAAAACCGGTTGAAAGGCCAATGTACAAAGGTATTGTCTTCTTGACTTTCAAGTGTTTGTGCTTTGAAGAGGCGACTTCGTTGGCAATGCTGCTGCCGCTGCCGCTCTGGCGTCCACCAGCTTCGGGAGGCTTGAGAGACCAAGGGGGGTCTGGATGATGTGGGCCCCATTCCTCCTTGAACAGCTGACGGTCTTCGGCAAGGAATCCGAAGATCAGAGAGCCGCCGACATTGGCCCAGAGCACGGGCGACAACACAGGAGCATCAGGGTAAGTGTTGATAGCCTCGACGCCAAGTCGACTTAGAGTCCCGAAGATTGCGAAGAAGATGAGGTATCCAATCACGTAGAATTCAGTCATTGGCACCAGAGCCGGATGACTCTTCGTCCTGGAAGCGTCTTCCTTTTCTTCGCTGCTAGAGGGAGGCGACTCGACGGGGCCCCAGGGAGGTCTAGCCTCGCTCTCATCGCCGTGGCCGACAATAGAGGGCACCCTAAGCTCTGTGAGGTATTCATCGCCGGATCCTCGACCTCCTCGTGTACTCAGTCTCCGGGCTGTCAGTTCTTCTCTTTCCAAGTTGTCCTGCTCGGGGTTCTCTGGACGCGCAGGCTGCGGCATGGCCATTTCTGAAAGGCCCGCATTTTCGTCATAGTTGTCGGGTTCTTCTTCTCCCCTTGGTGAATAACCAGATATTGCGATTTCTTCCTCGTCCATGGCGCTGGATAGACCTCCCTTTTCGAGATCATTTCTCGCCTCGAATCCTTTGGAAGAAACACTCATGTTCGTTGAGAGGGTCCAAGTGTCCGGCTCCAAGTCGTCAATAACTTCATATTCCGGATTGGAATTATCCGTACTTGCAAACTTTTGATGCTTGGTGACCCCGTTAGAGTCTGGGCGACCGCGTGAAAGGGATTCTTACACGGGTAGGGAAAAAGGGAAAGAAAGGAGGAGCAAGAAGACCTACCTATTGATCCTCTGGTTTATCATAAGCCACTATTATCCCGCGAATCGCCGCTTGCGATCGGAACGATTCAAGATCGGATCTGCGGTCAGGACTCTTTGGCGTCTTTAGACCAGATACCGTAAGTATGTATCTCAGTCCCAGCTCGTGTTCAGCGGGTCAAATCATAGAGAAGTCACAGCTTTGCAACAACGGAGCAGGGAAAGTAACAGGCCTGAAGTTGCCTCGGTCTCAGTTTCGGCATCAGGAGCCGCTTCTTGGGATTTTGGGACGTGGGTCGTCTGTTGGTGGTGGTGGTGGTGGCCGGTCTTCTCCTGGAAGAGGCGGCTACGACGCTCCGGGCGGAAGTTGGTTTGGCACTCACTGTACATCCCTCCCGAGCAAACAATATCAGACTTACCAATCGTCTATGATAGGTTTTCCGCCTTTCACGGAAGAGAAGGCGATAGGTTGTAAGTGCTTCTAGATGTTTTGGAACTATGCGGCGAGAACGGATAGCGCTGAAAGCCCTCCCAGATGGAGCGGGGACAGCCTCGTCCCAATTAAGCATGCATCTACATATATATATACACATACACACGTACGCACGGCCTTTTCTGTCCGCAGCAATGTCACCGACTCTATATACCATGAGAGCGAAGCCTCTGGATCAGACTCGACAATCTCAAACTTTCCATCAACGGCATGTCTCTCTCAATCTCTCTCTCTAACGATGATAGGAGGCCTTTTCGACCAGGCTCCATCGTCCTTGGGGTCGTCAAGCTCGTCATCCACGACGACTAGCCGATCGGCGACCTGACAATTGCCTTCACGGGGCGCGCCAGTGTGCTGTTGATTCACTCGTACGGAGACATGACGAAGTCGCGCAGGGACTACAAGTCCGTTGGCTGCCTGTTCTCCCAACACGTCAACCTGCACCAGGGCAACAAGCATTACACCCACCAAAAGGGGAACTACCTGTGGCCGTTGCATTTCAGATCCCTCTGTGTGCCACGTCCAGGGTGGTCTCCCCGTTGGGATCCAAAGACAAGGACTGCTTTCCCTCAGAGGATCCGTGGAAGAACGGCTACGGTGGCGTCAAACAGCACCCACTGCCTCCGAGCATGGCCTATAGCGGACCGTATCTCTGCTCCGTCGAGTATTCGCTCTACGTGAAGCTGACACAGCCGGGGCGCGCCTCAATCTCGTTGAACAGAGGTCTCAACGCGGTCAAGAAAGTGACGGCCCACGCTTTCTCCGACGGTCCACACTTTCTCGACACCGCAGGTTCTGGACCCGAGCCTCGACGAGGAGCAAACCCCTCCCACGACGAGCACGCATTCCCTCCGCCCGCGAAGCTTATCACAAGTTCTTTCAAATTGCCTCTCGTGTAGCATACCCATGTTCATGCGGGTTGCCACCGCTCGTCCTCGGAGAGGCGGGTTTTTGTGCGAACAGGATCTTGCATGTTACCTGTTATTCTAAGAAGAGCTTCTACTTCGCCCTCGCCGCCCGAACAACCAAGCCAGCCACCAAGCTCTCGGCAGATCAAGGCGGCAGCAGCAGCAGCAGCAGCAGCAACAGTAACGGACCGCTGCCGCCCCAGCCAGAAGGGGAAGTTTCCATCGACCTAGCAAAAGTTACAGACCTCACACTATCCACCACTCTGGCCCTGGTGCCGATTTTTCCACCTACAACATCGCCAGGTCGCATTCGCTGGACGCCCAGTTCGAGATGCAGTACGGCGAGAAGAGATCCAAATTCCGCCTGAGAAAGATCCCCGCTCCGGATCCTGTCCCGGCCTGCTACTGTGCGGAGGAGGAGGACCACCATCATAACGATCTCCGGCCCGGAGGCAGGAGGCTGAATCAAATCGCATGTACATCGGATCATGACGGCGGTGGGGATCAAGATGATGTCTGGATTATCCCGCCTCCCTCGGAGTTCGATCTCAATGATGACGAGATCGTCGCCAACGCTCTGATCGCGGAACCGCTGCCGCAGTATCCTTGACTACTAAGCGAGTCTGGGCGATTGTAGCAACGACCATGGATGGGCGTCGGCGGCCTTGGGCGATTTTGAATTTTGAATTTGACTTACCGGCTTTGCCCAGACAGTATACCCAGGGGTTCCAACAAGATGATACATATGTAGTGGGTTCTCAGAACCGTAATTCAGGCTCTCCTGCTGAAAAGCGTAAGACCTCCTCCAGCGTGTAGAGTAGATCAGAGATGCATGCGGTGATTGGAGGAGTCCGTGTCGGAGTCCTGCTATCGTTGTGGTACACATTACATACCATGTGTTCGTGTGTGGTTTCGCTTGGAGGCAATGAATGCAATCCACGTACGTACAGCGTCCGGGAGGATGTATTCAGAGTTAGTCCAGGACGTGGGCAAACGGGTGGTTTTCTTCCCCCCAGTCTCTCGTTTGCTTGTAGATTTTGGACCTCAAGTGCGTGCATGGGCTAGAGCTCCTCCTATTCAATGTAGTAGTGGAGACGACGAGTATTCCAAACATAACACCGGCTACTCGAACAGCATCATCGCCATTCTCGTTTCGTGCCATTGTGGGCCTTCCGGACCAAGGCGTCCAGCCCGGATACTGATTGATTGACTGATTGACTGAGTAGAGAGACCCGGGCGGATCGAGCTCGCACTTGTCGAGACAAGGCGACTTCGTGATGGCTCTCTTCTGCTCTGGTCTCGTCCGCTCTGACCTGCGTCACTGCGCGGTCAGTTAGGATTCTTCTCTCCCCTCCCTATCCCCTCCCCTCCCCTCTGTACCCGACTTGCTCTAGGCACCGCCGGCCCGGACGGGCGTAGTTCGCTGAACGACGGCAAATTCAACCACCAACGACACACGTAACACCCATGTCTTGTCTCCCGCTGTTTTCATTGACCCATCCGAGTGTATGGGAAGGGCAAGAAGAGTTACGTGGACCTGTGTGTAGGTGTGTGTAGCTCCATCTGTCCGAGGAAATCAAGCGAGAGATCGTTTGTAAGGAAGACAGGACTCTGCTCTGTTGCAATACCCCAATTTGCACGGGCAAGGGATATTCATTCATCCGCCTATCCAAGCTTACCGTTTCCCAACTCCTGCTTAGAAGCCATGGGGACTGGGGAGGCGGGGTCAACCTAGCTACCGGCCTGCCCGCCTGCCTTCGAATTCACAATAGAGACGTATATAAGACATCACGCTGCTGTTACTGCTGCTGTGCTGACGAAAGAACTGTGCGTGTCCCAGAGAGTGTGTGTCTTGTTCTCCCCGGGCCTGACAAGCTCTTTCTTTCATGTGAGGACCGTGGCCACGAGCCTTGAGCCCAGCGACTCCGGCAGGAAATCAAAGGGGACAACAGAAGAAAGAAAAAAAAAACAAGACGCAAAAAGCAGACACACGTATATTGAACCAACAGCATCGGCCGTAGCAGGGAAAGGAAAAAAATGGCCAACACAGCAACGGCCGGCAGCAACACCGACAACAACACCACGAGCAATCACAAACCAGATGTCGTAGAATACGACATGCACCACGATAATTACGACCGGGACACGGCGCTGCGTCGGCTACGCACCGCAGGGAGCCTGACGATCACGCCGGAGCTGTTCGAGAAGATCTACCTCTCCCCAAAGAACCGGGTGTCGAACAATATCCGTTCGACAGTCGGGAATCCGACACCGCTGTGAGTACCCAGTGCCCCAGTACCTACCTACCTGCTTACTGCCTATCCGTTGCCCATGGTCCGTCGAATTTGCCGAGAAAAAGGGAGTGGAGGGGGAAAGGAGGAGGAACTCATATTGGAAACCGAGAACTTACTTTCTTTCCTCTCCTGCAGGGCTCTTTGTGGCTTCTTGCTCTCTCTCAGTCCTCTTTGCAACATCCTCCTTGGTTGGAGAGGATCAGGCGGCTCGGGAGCTGCTGAAGTGTAAGTCTTTTCCTTCGTCTCGGCTCTGTTGTCACCGAGGAGAGAAATCTGACCAAATCTCACTGCGGGCGGGGAGTAGCGGCGTATATTACTTCTTCGGAGGCCTGTTGATGATCATTGGATCGGTCCTCGAGTTCATATTGGGCAACACGTTCCCGTTTGTGGTGTTTGGGTCATTCGGCGCCTTTTGGCTCAGCTGGGCTGCAACATTGACACCCTTCTACCACGCCTCGATTGCTTACGACCCAACCCGGCCAGCGACCAGCAGCATGAACCCGACATTTGCGAACACGTTCGCCTTCTTCATGATCTACATGGGCGTGCTCTGCTTCATCTACCTCGTCTGCGCTCTGAGGACCAACATCTGTTTCGTGCTCATCTTCCTGTCGCTCGTCCCAGCGTTCGGCCTGATGGCTGCCGTGTACTGGAAGCTTGCCGAGGGAAATGCCGCAGTGTCTTTGGAGTGCCAGCACGCCGCCGGCGGGTTGCTCTTCGCGGTCTGCCTGCTGGGCTGGTACCTCCTTACAGCTCAGTTATTGGCCGCCGTGGACTTTCCCCTGAATGTCCCCGTCGGTGATCTCGGCCATTTGGTCAAAGGCGCCAGTGAGAGAGCTGCTCGCAAGGAGGAGAGGAAGCATTCAAGTGAGTAGCAGAAGTGTTTGTGTGGTGGCTCGGAGGGGAGGGTCAACTGCAAGGGGGGTGAGAGACAGAAGGGGGCACACGACATGAAGAGCAAGGGAAAATGAAATACGTACGTGAAGATGGGGAACCGTGCAATGTATGTTGGTTGTCTGAGGGGCCGAAAGGAAGCCGGCCGCATAGTCAGCGTTGAGGACAATGACAAGAATGGATGGAGCGTTTCTGGAGCACAGGAAAATAATGAATATGCAGGCAATGGCAGATGCTTGGTTTCTGGTTCACTTGATTTGGCTCAATGGTATGCACAAAACTAACCTACTCTCGGATAGATAGGCACGCTGGTAGCGAAGGAGCGGCACTTCTTCACATGTTGAACTGTTGGGTGGAGACGCGAGGATCCAAGAGGTTCGGTCACCGAGTGGATGTTGCGTTGGGTAAAGGAGCAGAAGAATCTCGATAATGGAAATTGCGAGAAGAGGTTGAAAGAGGACGTCGAGGGAAGGAATGATAAAGAGAGAAAAGCAAAGCCCAAAGGATTAGAAAAAAAGAGCCAAATGCTGCTAGTTTTGTTGTCCGTTTGGCATAGATTTTCTTCTGGCTCGCGAAGGCCTTTCGTAATTATTTTGCCCCTGAATGGGAATGTTTTAGTTCAGCCTTGTCCACATGTCAGTGCCCCTCCCTCTCCTCTTACAAGGACGGCTTCATCTTGCAGGTGGCTGCTGACGCTAACTTCTCGACTCACTTGTGATTCAGATTTGCGGGCCTTTCCAACTTGCCTCGCTGACCAACTTTCGGATTGGTTCTCGTGACAATTGTGCATTTATCGGGCACAATATCCGCCGTCAATGATAATATCAGTGCCGGTGGTGTAGGAGCTCGCATCGCTTGCGAGGTAGACATAGGCTCCCTTGAGCTCGGTCGCCTTGCCATCACGGCCCATGGGGATCATGCTGTGCCACAGTTGTTGGATATCCTGAGGAACAAAGTCCGAGAGACCAGTGTCAATGTAGCCGGGAGAGATCGAGTTCACACGGGCAAAGTCTCGCCATTCGTTGGCCAGGGAGCGTGCCATGTGGATGCAGCCGGCTTTGGCAACATTGTAGGAGGTCTGCATGAATGGTTAGATATATCTCACGCGAATCGCACCCATGGAAAACAAATCAGAGGGACTGACCTGTTCTTGAGGATAGTTGGCAATGTGACCGGACATGGATGCGGTGATGATGAAGCTGCCGGTCTTGCGCTCCCTGAAATGCAGACCGACGGCTCGGGCACAGTGGAAGACACCGTTCAAGTCGGTTTGGATGACCTCATTCCACTTTTCGACAGAGGCATCAAGGATACCGCTGTCGGCGGTCCGACCGGCGTTGGCGATAAAGACATCAACCTTGCCAAAGTCCCTGATGACATCCTGGACCAGCTTCTCCACCTCTTCGTAGTTGCTCACATTGCACTTGTAGGCCTTGGATTTGACGCCGTACTTCTCTTGGAGCTCTTTGGCGTTCTTCTCACCTCCTTGAGGGCGAGTCGAGTATGTAATGGCCACATCGGCACCCATTTCCGCACATCCTCGAGCGGCTTCGGTACCAATGCCGGTGGGCCCGGAGGCACCGGTAACGATGATGACCTTGCCCTTGAGGCTGAAGAGGTCGTGAAGGGAGGTAGAGGAGGGGACCGTGATGGGCATGTTGGTAGTTGGCGGGACGGAGGGGAGCTGCTCAATGGATGCGGGGTACGAGGTACAGAGATGAGTATGTCGGAGGGGCGTAGGAGAGTGGCTTTATGAGACGTGCTGCTTGGGAGAAAGTGAAAGAGAGATCTGAGGGGATCTCAAGACCGAGTCTGCAGAGAAGAAGAAAAAGAAGGAGAAGTGAAAATTTGCAGCAATCAAGCGCAGCAGCTTAATATACGGCGAGATCTTCTGCTCAACTGGAGAGAAAAACGAGCATCGCCAGCAGCCGTGTGAAATGTTGCATTAGCAGATTGGCTGATGACGTAAGGACAGTAGACTTGTTGGGTGCTCGTATGCCCCATTCTTCGCTTTCGGAAGTCACAGCAGCTGGAGGATCCAGAGGGTTGTGGCATGGAGGGGAACACAACTCCTCCCACTGACTCAGCTTTTCTCTTTTCTTTTTCCATGGATCGCGTGACTAACACAGACTTCTCCTAGTTGGCTTGTACCTTGCTGTGCGTCGAGGCTTGCGGCTGCCTGGAGTTTCGCACGTTTGCCATATACAGAGTGACTGACTAACTGAGGACCTTAGCTGCTCGGCGGCTAGTGGGCTCGCGCTCTCTTGGCTCCTGCAGATCCGCCATCCTCCACCAGGCTAGGGACGGAGGCGGGTTCAATAGCCAAACACCTCCCCAACACTGAGCCCGACAACCCTGACGCTGGCTAAGGCTACGAGAGCCAGCACCACATCCACAACGAGCAGCACCCCGTTGGCCATCAGATATCGAGGCATGAACACTCTGTACAACATCAGATGCCGTCGTAGGTGCCCGGCCCACAGTGTCGTCGCAAGCTGAATTGTCGCATAGTACAGAGCATGCGTAAGACAAGCCCTGAGCACGTCGTTCCACAACCCACGTAAACCTGCCTTGTCGATCGGCCTCTTCCAGAGAACTGTCAACGGCACAGCTGCTGCGCAGATGATCTGAGCCCCAAAGGTATTGAGCACGACAAGAAGCGGCGACCAAGGATATTGAATCGTGCGCAACGGAACGAAGGCCGAGTTCCATTGAATTGACGCCAAAGTCGCCTGATGGCCGGTCTTGAAGAAATGGTAGGACCCCAGGATCGCGAGCATAGTTGGTCCAATGCTGGATTTGCGCGTCGAGGTAATAATGAGCCCGTTGGTATCCAGGATTTCAAGCAGGCATAGAATCTGCCAGGTCAGAACGGCGATAGAAAACTGACCCATAGGTGGCAGAAGGAGTGAAACTGTGAGGACGAGAATCGGAATCATAACAAAATAACGGCTGCCAAACACGTTGGCATAACCGAATACCGCCAACTGTGGCCGACCACGGGCGCCAGATCCTTCTGCGGCAGTTGTCGGTTCGGTAATCGAGATGTCGATGCAGGGCTTCGCCCACACAAAGGTACCTATCCCAATAGGAATCGCGACCGCCAGGGCACACCTGGCCAGGGTGATGTTGGCTGTCTTGAGCGTTGCTGATGAGAATCGCTCCAGCAGCCAGTCGCCATTGTCCGCAGCGTCTATCGTCCAATAGGCAGCAATGAGCAACAAGCCCATGCGCACACTGAAGCCGATCCAAAAGCCGGCCGATCCGGCATACGATGCAGTGCCCTTGTAGAATGCCTTGATGATCTCCGGTATGATCAGAGCCACGGTGTAGGGAATGAGAAGCTGCCATGGCGCCGAAGTTGATGAGTTTGCGGAAGCATAAAAGCTTGAACGACAACCTGGCATCTGCTCTTCCCGACACAGGCGTGAGAATGATGCGGCTCGAGTGAGGAGTATGAACACCACCGATTGATATGTGCCTAGTACTCGATCAGGTGTGGATGCTTGTCGTAACGAAGACACTAAAGACGCAATCCCAAACGAACTCAGGAAAAAGAGGAGGATGGTGTCTTCGTGAATGGTGTAGGAATTCGATGCGAACCCCGCCGATTGTGCCACGCAGAAGGTAAAGGACAACCATCCCCATGCAGTTGGTAGGTACGACTTTGGAGCGAAAAGGTGTCGACAAGACCAGGAGCAAGCGGCAAAGATGCCACCGATGGCGGCTCCAAATATGAGACCGGTCACAACAGTGTAGTATGCGGGCCAGAGAAATCCAATCAGCCCGCCAACAGCAGCACCCGTAGCTGAACCCAGTCCGGCGCTTTTGGTCAGATGTGCAGCCTGTCCAGCTTTATCTCCTTCCAAGAAGCAGGAAAATAGGAACAGAAGGCCGAGTCCGAGGCCGGAAAGCAGAACACCCAGCAACATATCTTTCAAGTTGAAATTGGCCCACAATTGTCTGTACATGGAAATCACCTCTCTATGCCAGTTGACGATGGCGTAATGCGCTTCCATCCACTTGCCATGTGCTGTAGCCTCTGTTGAGTCGATCACATACTGATTTTGGTTCGCGTACGCTTCATCCGGCAGACCCAAATCCCGCGAGCGGGTGTAATATTTTTGATATCTTGAGATCTGCCTCTGTGCCAGTTGCTCCACTTTGGCCAAATTTTCCCAGTCTGTCGTCCCCGCCCCTGCAAAGGCTTCAGCAATTGGCTTGCCGAGGTTATTAAATGGGATGGGGAGACCGAGCAAGATTGAAAGAGTTGAAACTAGATCAATTTGGCCGACTGGCCGCTCCTTTGCTGTGGCTGGAGGCAGGGCGCTGGCACCGTCGATTCTTCCGAAACGAGGTTTTTTGGAATACATCCAAAGGGCGGCTTCAATTTCGTCGTCGGACTCTCCACCATGGTCCCCTTTAGTGTCCATGCCATGGTCGCCCATGATCACGAGCAATGTTTTGTCGTCGATCTTCTCCATCATTTGTCGAATAACATCATCCATCTGGCGGAGTTTTTCAGCCATCGCGGGATGATCTGGACCGTACCGGTGACCTGCGTGATCGACTCCAAGGAAATGACCGAAGATGACATCCCACTGCACCGACAACTGGTCAAGCAAAGGCATAACATGTTCGATAACCCCATTGTCGACGGTATGCAGGTCCCACACATTGAAAGAGTCATACGGTTGTGTCATGTTTGGATCAAAATATCCAGGAAACAGAGAATGCCATGTATCATCTCCAAGTTGTACAATTGTCTTTCCGGCATCTTTTAATTGAGAAACGATATTATCTTCTTCGATAGCCGTACCGGCAAAATTTGAACCAATATCTATAAAGGTAGGAAGAGTGCCAGTTGTCAGACCCTTCAAACGTTGGAGGGTGCTGGTTGGAGGATCGGCGATAAATGGAAGCAGGATTGCATTGGCAGGGTAGGAAACGGCGGTCTCGTGTAGAATTGGCAAATTGTCGA